GACATGGCCTGACAGTATTGTCCTACAGGTGAGCAGGGTACGGTCCTCGGTATTACGGTTGATTTGAGCGCCTTACCTTATCTGCTCTGCCTGATTTCTTGGGTCCTCACCGAGCGGGCGTCCCTGGTTGGTCGTTCCCAGTTGGCTCCGACCACGCCGGTCGGAGAAGAGCTGTAAGCAGAGGTTCGGTGTATTACAGGTCGGAGAGGCGGGTCGGAGTCGGAAGCGAGCGTCGTCCCCTCCTTTGCTAGGCCTTCCGATCGGAGATTGGATCACTCTTTCGGCCTGTCATTAGATATATGGGTCGGCCCAGGAGTTGCGCGTCGTTCATAATGCCATCTACCGGGCCGAGCTTTTGCTGGAAAGCGGGCCCATTAGGGACCCAGGGTTTATGAACCTAGTGAAACGTCGACGTGCATTACTGATTTATTGTCATCACGATTCATGACCCTCCATCTCGTCCCATCTTCTGCCTGCTACTGGTTTCATCGGACGCCTACTACCACCAATGCCACGCCAATGGAAGGAGCAAGCCACGACAGACAACCACGTCCATATTATCTTCCACATGTGGAGCAACAGGAGTGATTAGTTTGGTGGCAGCCATAGATAAGCGCCCATAAGCTAGTAAGGCACCATGTGATGGTTTATAAACTTCCACTTTTACGATCTATATGCAATGCAACTGAAAGTAACATATATCTATTATCAACTTAGATATAGAGATGTCATCCTATTTTTTTCAATTTTAATTAAAAATTTGGGTCCATGGATTGGCTTGGACTAACAAGCTCCAGAATCTCATCAACAAGATGCAACTCACCCTAGCCCTTCATGGGTTGGAAGCGGATTTGGCTGGTTTTGTAACCCTAGTCATGTGTACGATTGTTGATCTCGCTTGGCTCAATTTTGTACTGGGTTGGTGGTGGTTTCACTAATTATTGGTTTGAGTTAGTCTGGTCCAAGTTGACGAGTTGTACCGGCTTAATAGGTTGGCCACGTTGATTTGCACGATCATTTCTTCTATAAACATTAGCATTGGACCTGAGACACCTAAAAACCACTCAAAACAGGCACCTGCGTCAAAATTGAACAGTTCTGATAGTTAAGATGCCAAAGTAACCTGATTTGGTTTTCGGAGGTTAAAATTAAACAAACGTAAGAGTCACTATCACCATGTTCGCTGGTTGGTTTCTGGGCTGATAAGCCCGGCTGGTGCTGTTTGTTGTGAGAGAAAAATACTGTACCATGGCTGATAAGCCTTGCTGAAACCAACAAGCGAACAAGCTGTACACCATAACACCGAGATTAGCGATGGACGATCCGACGCTGAAAGCGGATATAGCGACAGACGATCTGTCGCTAAAAAGCTATAGCGACAGACTTGTGCAGACGGTGCACGTCCTGTCACTAAAAATCTTTAGCGTCAGATAGTATTTTTAGCGATAGACAGTCTGCTGCCCTGAATATTTATAGCGACAGATGCTCTGTTACCAAGCATATACCGACAGACCATCCAATAGCCTATGTATTTATAGCGACAGATGGTTCAACAGGACAATATAAATATACAAAAAAATAAATACAATGAGAAAACATGTAGCACATATCACATATCATACCCAGATTCAAGCTTAATATAGTATCCACATGTCACATGAAGATACACAAACACATATATATCACATAGATAGAGGTCAATACATGTTACATCCAAATATGCTTGTGTACATCATCTAGCAAAGTGAAGCACCAAAAGAGTTATATGAGTGCACATCTTTAATCCATGTCTTATCCATGAGTCTTCGCAGTGAGCAGATTTCATATTATATTTGTTAAACACTACAAAAATTCATAACAGAGAGCAATTAGAAATAAGATCAGCAACTGACAACTAGCATTTGCATTGCCACTTGGCCACAACACCTCTACATTTTTTATAAAAAAAATGGCATGGCTTTGCATATGTGACCATTTAAAAAAAACTCATGCTTCGATGCACAAAGATGACAAACTTAGGATACTATCATGCTAGAATAGAAGTTCTACCATTATTTTGAGTTCAAGGCCGAGCAAGCAACACAAGTAGAAAGCAGCAACTATATATAGAAGAATAAATGTGGAAGCCAAGTGCGATAGACATGGAATACCCTGCTCCTCTGTGTGCGGTGTACCAGAAAGTGTGCCACTACTCAAAGTAGTATTTTTCTCAAAATTGAAATAAATAGTTTTGACACATGCTGCAACTCCTGTGTACGGTGTACCAAAAAGTGTGCCACTACTCAATGTAGTGATTGCATCTTCCACATAGTCCCCTTAGAGCATTGGACTTTCAGACTGCAATATATTATTTTTCTCAAAATCAAATAACCATTTTGACGCATGTTGCAAACTCAGATTACATACTGAAATTAAACACATAGAGGACTGATAGCTGCAGCAGCTACTACAAATTAACTTATATCTTAGTTACTAATGCACTTATGCAGTAAAAATTTCAGAGGTAGTGACATTGTTTGGAGGCCCAACACTAAAGACAGTAGTTTAGCATAAGAAATTTGAGATATCTAAGAAGTCAATTGAGCTTACCTTCACTGTTATTGACTTACTACTTCCCATTCAAATAGGGTCTTAAACTCCTAAAGACAGTGGTTCACTAGAAGTTTGAAGCATCCCATGGGGCTTTATGATGTCCCTCATCAGTATTAAGAGCTTGTGATCTAAATAAAATATTGTAAGAAAATCTTGGAACAGGAGTTAATGAATGTTATAAGAGATATTATTATTCTAAATCATGACTTGCTAAAAATCAATGTTCAAAAAGGCGACATTAGGCACCCGCCTAGGCGCGACTAGGCACTAGGCGAGGGGGTCCCTCCTGGCCTAGGGGGTAGGCGGACCCCTAGGCGGTGCCAGCTTGCTGGTGGCGATGGTGGGGGAGGAGGAGCGCCTGGTGGAGGTCGCTGGTGACAGAGGAGGAGCTTCGGATGCGTGCGGGCACGTGCTGCGGAAGGGAGGAGGCTGGCCGTGGTGGAGAAAGAAGCAGAGCCGGGTGGCGACGGAGAAGAGCGGAGTCAGGCGTTTGCGACTGCGGAGGGTGTCTGCGGCTGGAAGGAGACGCGGATGGATAAGGATAAGCTGGTTCATGCGGATGGAAGGGGCTTTTTCTTTTCTTTCTTTTTTATAAGAAAAGGATGGAAGTGGCTAGGAGGAGTATGGATAAGATGGGCTGGGCACTTTTGATGGGCCTTTCTTCCAACTTTAGGTCCACATGTCTTATATTTTTTCTTTTATTTAAGATAATCTAAGGTAATATATGAATGTGTATTAATTAAAGTTAAAACATTAAAATGCCTAGAAAAATTCCTTAAAATGCCTAGGCTCGCTTAGGCCCGCCTAGGCTCTAGGCTATGAATCATCGCCTAGAAATCGCCTAGCGTTTTTTTGAACATTGCTAAAAATACAGATTAGTATAATTCAGATCAAGACTTGCTAAAAATTCAGATTGCAGCCTAATATATGAGATAATATATATATAAGTCAGATCCAAACATGCTAAAAATTCAGACTGCAACTGAAACAATAAGAAAGTACTTGCTGTTAATTTAGCATAAAATAGAAAATCATAGAGACAACATCAAATTGTTAACTAGCAGAACAAGCAATGTCAACTAGCAGAACAATTACACTTATTACTCATGCCGGGTATACTCATGTTTTGGATCTCTATCAATCATGTTTCTTCCAAGACTTAAAACTATACTTATCAAACTGGTATATTAGTTCTTCCAAAATCCTAGTACACTAGAATTTGTCATACCAAGGTACAAAGTTGAAAGAAATTTAGGTATTTGAATATAAGGGTATTCCATAGTGAAAAAATTTCAAAAAAAAGTGAAAAGTTGATAATGACTTTGAAACAAAATGGCATATTTTACAAGCACAACCGTAGTTAGTCATTTACTATTATTAAATGGATTGTTTGTGAATAGCACATACACATACAGTGACTATAATGTATTGCTCATTTAAAATCAAAGTTTGACTAATGAAGTACAACCTTCTAAAAAGAATGACTCAAAACAGTTACAGTTCATTAATGCTCAAACAATTAAATGGTACAAATATATCATGAGAGGCCCTTTCAAAAAAAAATAGATGCAAGTCTACTCGTTTCATGGAATACTATATATCTGTGTGTAAAATCGTCATCTTACATATATGACTACTGTTCACAAAACTTTCTATTCTACTTAATATTGTAATCAATTCAGGAAACAAGAGAGACCAATTCAGAAATCTTAGATTGGAGGGAAAAAATAACAATAAGAATTACTACATAAGGTGCCTGACAAGCAGGTGACTAGTTCTTAATGGTAAAATTATTTTTGTCAGTAAACTAGTGCTCTCTTCGGTGATGTTTACTGAGAAAACTAATTCATATCTGACACCAGTATTTTTTGACCTGCATTTAGTTCAAAATCATGTTCTACAAATGATGAAAAAACAGGTAGCAGTAATACACTTACAAATCAAAGATTAATTTATCTAGCAGTTCACTAAACATTTATCGATGCGAAATCAAGTCCAAACTTAGCAGCCAGCCATAAACACACATGAGATGACGAGATCAAACCATAATTGCATCTACACAAGCAGATAAATTACACAAGGGGAGATGGAGGGCTGTCGCACATTGTAGTGACGTCTGGAGCGCGCGCTGTTGTGGGTAGTGGTGGCTGCCGCCGCCGTGCCCTCGTCCTCCTCAGAGCTCGAACCACCAGCTCCTTCCTCAGAGCCTCCTGATGGGCTTGCGCGCCTCCTGATGGGCCTGCGCCGCCACATCCCGCACCGCTGCCGCATCTCGAACCGGCGTCGCTGCGAGATCACGGATCGGTGCCGCTGACGCATCTCGTGGCTGCGCGCCTCCCGAGCCACGCTGTTGCTGCCTCCTTGGCCCTCGTGGAAACTGTAGCCGCCGCATCCTGGGCCTCCGCCGGATGCCGCTGCTCGGATCCACGCCGCTGCCGCATCTCGGACCCGCGCTGCTGACGCATCTCGAGCCCACGCCTCTGCATCCCAAGCCCGCCCGAGGCCGCCTCTTGGGCCCGCACCGGATCCGGGACCCTCCTCACCGGATCAAGCTCTTCCTTGCAGAATCAAGCTCCTCCATGAGGAAGAGAGCACCGGGTGGGAGAGCTACGGAGAGGGAGCAGGAGAGAGCGAACAGAACAGGGGGTGTGGAGGAAGCGGCGACTCGATAGATAGGTTGTGCCGTGTGTGTTGTGACCTAGGGTTGCCTGGGTGGGAGGGATAGGTGGGCCGACTGTGGGCTTGGAGGCCGCACGTGAAAGGTTCATCTTTATTAATTATTTTTTTATTTTAACTAATTAAGACACATCGGTGAATATTCTAATCAAAGTAATACTTGTAATTAAAATATTTTTACATGAAATAGACTGCATATATGTTGTTGCATAAAATTACACAAAATTTTGAAAATCATTTACTGTTTTCTATAGTTTAAATAAATTTCTGCGTGTCTGTATTAAGTTCTAAATAAAAGTACGAGTTTCAAATTTCTGTGTGCTTATATTAAATTTTGCTCCATGATCATTTCATAAATATTTCAAACATTTTTAAGAAAGTGGGACTACATGTTCACTGATAGATACATTCAACAAAAAGATACTAAAAAAACTGAATCCAAGTACATTCAACCACAGATTCATAGCTTAGTGGATTGTTCATGATTTGGAAAAGCTGAATTTGTGATTTTGGGGAGAGGAGAATCTAGGGTTCAGCGAGCTAGATAGAGGTGGGGCACGCGAGCTCAGCGTGAGGCCCATTTTCTTTAGCGACAAACAGATTGACGGTATAGTTGGCTTTAGCGATAGGCAGTTCAACCTTAAATATCAGTATCTATAGCGACAGACAATAAATCGCTAAATGAGAAATTAGCGATGGATGATCTGTGAGTTATCTTTAGCGACAGATCATCCATCGATAAATATAATTTTAACGTCAGATGTCTGACGGTGATGCGGTGTTGTGGTGTAGTGAGTTGATGGGCCAAAAAGAGATTCAATCCTAGAATTTATGGGTCCTTAAATTTTTCTTGTGATCTCATTTGGGTCTATAAACTCTCATGTGACATCTGAGTCCTTCAACTTTTCAAATGGTCCATTGAAGTGCGAATTAAAGTTGATAATTGGACCGAGTAATGTAGAATGAATCACTTAAAAGTTAAAGGACCGAGAAAAAGTTTAGGAGCCTACATTGCAGGACCCTATCAATTCCGGGAGATTTTTAAAAACCTCCGTGAAAAAAATTATGCAGTGGAAAACAAAACCTATCAATTCCGGGAGATTTTGAAAAAACTCCGGAAAAAAATTATGCAGTGGAAAATGAACTAGGCCCTGTTTGGATACGAAGTATTTTCGGAGGTTTAGATAAATACCATGGTTTTATGAAATACTTTGGTTTTAGAGTGCCACGGAGTGTTTGGATGCAACAAATTTTATGTGTCCTGTTCGTTTGGGCTGGTTTGGCTTATAAGTCATGGCTGAAAGTATTGTTGGCTGGTTTGGTATGAGAGAAAAATATTATTCGTTGACTGATAAGACAGGGTTTATAAGCCAAATACGACCAAGCAAACAGGCTGATGGTTTGAATACCATGGCATTGCTGTACCTGTAATCTTTTGGAGTTTTAAAAACACCATTTTAAATCTCTTTTTTTTAAACCACGGTTTTGCACGTCAAAGGCCTTGAAACTATAATTTCTTATAAGATTTCTTATAATACTACCACGTCCAAACAAGGCCCACCGTTGTTTTCGCTTGGAAATTTGACAGTTTATTATTTTCCGCACACATCTCGTCCGTCCATCTCTGATCGAAAGGCGAGCTTCGCCAGTCTTCCACTCTTCCCCCAAAACCCCAAACTCCTCTGGTCCTCCTTCCTCTCCGCCGCCGCCGCTCCCCGACGCCCGGAGCCGAGCATGCCGGACGCCTTCCACTCCCTCCTCCCCTCAAACGGAAGCGCAAATCCAAGCGCGGCCGCAGACACAGTCACCCAAAGGAGAACCACCTCGCCGCCTCCACTGGAGACCCGTCCTTCCACCTGAAAAGCTCCACCTCCGCCTCCTCCAGAGACATCGGATGCCTCGTGGAGCCGCTCGGCAACCTCTTCCTCTCTGGCACCCCGCGCGGCAACCTCCGGGACGCGGGGCTGGGCGCGCTCCGGCCGCTCCCGGACGACCTGCTCCTCGACGTCCTGGGCCTGCTCCCGGCGCGCGACCTCGCGGCGCTCTCGGTCGCGTCCAAGGCGCTCTACGTCGTCGCCTCCCACGACCCGCTCTGGCGGGCGCTCGTCCTCGACGAGCTCGGCGGCGCGTTCGACATCGCCGGGTCCTGGCGCGCCACCTACATCGCCGCCGCCTCCCGCGGTGGCCAGGCCTACCTCATCCCCCCGCGCGCTCTGAGAATCAAGGGATTCTACCAGGGGCGGATCCAGAACGGGGCTGCGCCCCGAGCTGAGCTGCTGATTCACGTTAAAAACAGTATGATCTTATTTTCTAGGCCTCCTTTAGGCTAAACACCACATATGTTAAAGGGGCTACATGGACTCGCCCTGGGCTGCAGCCCGGGCCCTGGATCCGCCCCTGGATTCTACTCCGACTACCTCTTCCAGAGCTGGCTTTGCGCCAACATGGAGATGCGGCACGAGTGGCTCGCGCGGGACAACATCGAGCGCCGCCGCGGCATTTCCGTGGAGCAGTTCGTCGCCGAGGTCGAGGAGCCCAACAGGCCGGTGCTGCTGGAGGGGTGCATCGATACCTGGCCGGCGTTACAGAAATGGAGCAGAGACTACTTGCTGGAGATCTCGGCGGGTAAGGAGTTCGCGGTCGGGCCAGTGAGCATGCCATTGGATAGGTACTTCCATTACGCTGACAATGTCCAGGAGGAGAGGCCATTGTATCTGTTTGATGCGAAGTTTGCTGAGAAAGTACCAGAGATGGGGAGGGACTATGAGGTTCCGGAGTACTTCAGGGAGGACCTGTTTAGTGTTCTTGGGAAGGAGAGGCCGGATTACAGATGGGTTATCATTGGACCAGCAGGGTCAGGCTCATCGTTCCATGTCGATCCCAACTCGACATCGGCATGGAATGCTATCATCAAGGGGGCTAAGAAGTGGGTGATGTTCCCACCAGAGGTTGTGCCGCCTGGTGTCCACCCTAGTGCTGATGGAGCAGAGGTCACCAGCCCTGTGTCTATCATGGAGTGGTTCATGAACTTCTACGGGGCTTGTAAGACCTGGGAAAAGAGGCCTATTGAGTGTGTGTGCCGAGCTGGGGAGGTGGTTTTTGTGCCTAATGGATGGTGGCATTTGGTGATCAATCTTGAAGAGTCATTTGCCATTACCCAGAATTATGTGAGCAGGTTAGATTTCACAGCGCAAACAATTTCATTGTTTTTTCTGTAATCATGTCATATGTGTTGTCTTTCACTTAAGCAATCACCTTAAAGAATTCGTCTTTTGTCTTTTCTTATCTACAAATAGTTGCGCTCTTCAATAGGCTTTTTTTGTCAAGCCATTTCACAAACTATGCTTAGCTTGCTTGCATGGTCAGAACTCAGAAAGGATTCCATTACTCGGTACAAATCCAAATGACAGCACTGTTTGATCATGTATGATTCATGTTAGTATATTTATCTTACTTTAGCGTCCAAAGTGTAGGTCTCCCAGTCAATGTAAAACTTACGAGTTGTACCCAAATTAAGAAAATTTGTTTACCCAAAATGGTAACATGATCAATATATGAATGAATGAGAATTGTCCTTTGGGGACAACATTACCTTAGAACATAAATTCTCTGCTTTCTACTTGATGCTGTCCTCCATTCATCTTTGAATTGTTGTTTAGGAATTAGGATTCTGACTAGATATGGAAGAATGATAAAGCTGGGTTCTTTGTGTAGGGGTTCAATCTGGACATTCGCAATTCAACTAAGGTTGTCCAGTTAGCCTTGTTAGCTGCTTGGTATGCAGTTGTCTGTTCTGTGAACTTGATGCTATCTGGTCATCTGATGCTGCCTATCCTGGTTATTTTGGAAGTACATACGACTTTTTTCCTCTAGATTTTCGCATGAATATAGCAGAGAATTCTCAACTATAATTTGCAACCATTGCATGGACGTTTTTCAGAACTATGCAACTTATTTGAGAACTTTTGGTCTATTTTCTCAAAATATTTAGCTTATGTATGATGTGTTGCCTCTTTCTTTTCCTGCAAAACATGCAGGAGGAATTTGTTGAATGTTCTTGATTTCCTCAAGAAGCCCAACGCAAGTGAGCTTGTCTCCGGGACTAAGGACAGAGTGAATCTGCATGACAAGTTCCGGGGTGCCATCGAGGCAGCTCACCCTGGCATGATCAAGCAGCTTGAGCTTGAGGCTCAGCAGAAGGCCGCTGCTCAGAAGAAGAAAGCGTCGTTCTGGGATTCCGCTGCCGATGCCAAAAGTGGAGGATTCAAGTTCTCCTGAGTTTCACAACGGCAAGGTCTCTGATCTTCATGTTTGAGTGGATCCATTTTTTTTGTAAGAGTTAAGCAATTTTCTATGCCCATTTTTCCTTGAGCAGTCTGCAGACCTTCTTGGTGGACAATGATCATGAGCCGATTTAATTTGTACCATGAGCTGCCACATTATGCCATCCAAATTTTTGACACAATTTAGTGCAAGAACGATTGTATTGTTATTGTGCCATGCAACCTGTATCGAGAATATATATATTTTTAAAGAATTTAGCTGAGAACAATTGCACTGTTTGGCATACCATGTAACTTGTATCTGAGTGATGCAATATTGCATTTGATAATTTGTTTCCTCCAGGAAAGGAAAAGGAAATGTGGCATTTGCCTTCTATAGGCGCAGAAGCGCACCGTTACCGTGTCAACTACACGCAGCTTCAGACACTTTGGTTAACATATTGTGCTGGACTCTGAATATATAACCAAATACTATATAAACCCAGCACAATTACCCGCAGGTGCTTATGATGGGCGATCACATACAGCTAATGCTAAACAAACTAAGGGTAGACCATAGTGCACACTTGGTTGCTAGGCACCTTTGTCGGGCAGAGCATTGAATCTGATTGAGACTATTTCGACCCACCCCACAGCTTTGGGTGGCGGAAGCATCCGTCCGGCAAAACCACATTTGACGCTTTTGAATATTCAGAGTTGAAGGATGCTTTTGTATATTCAGAGAGTTGAAGGGGGTCCCAAAACAGAACTTTCAAAGTCCTAGGTAACATGATTTACATTGCTCCCAAAAGTACAGCTCTGCTTATCGTGGTAATCAGCTGAGGTACACAACAGACAAAAGCTGAGGTACCCCTAATTATAGAATTTGAAATCTGAAACCTGTACACCTATTCATATTTCATTTTTTTTCTCTCCTTTTGAGAGTTAAGAGAAATCGCTGCTGATAACAAAGGCTGCAGCTCCAGATCATCATAACAAGTGCAGAATCCAGCTCCAGATCATCATAACAAGTGCAGAATCCTAACTCTAGTGAAATATCAGCCTTCTGAAACAAGATGAAGTCCATTTTCCACTGTGATAGTCCTATGCAAGTGTTCTGAACCATCTGAGTAGCCCAAGAAGACCAGCATCTAGAACTGGAGATTTTTGCTCTAGTCCTGGAAGAAGGGTAAAGCAGTAAAAAGAAACTGTGAGTTGCAAAACATTCTCATAGCACTGTCCATCAAGAGCTCTACTCTAAGACCTAGCATCAAACATGTGACTAATTCTGTCTTAGTGAAACATCAAGCTATCCCTGTTCAGGACAGACACAGTAAAAATTGAACTCACCAATATCTGCAGCAACTCGGTGAGCACACATGATCCCTGAGAATGCTACAGCTATGACACCTTGCCCAGGAAAACAGCTGTCACCAACACAGTAAAGGCCATCTATTGACTGTAAATTGAGAACCCCAGTTTCAGTTCGACAAATCTTATAACATTGTGAGGACATCCAGTACATCAAGCCACCCAAAGGGAGATGATTTCTGATACTTACAGTAGTATTGAAAGGCATAGCCATTAAGCCCTTCGGTTTACCCCGTGGCATTGGTCCATATGTACCATCATTTCGAGCAAGAAATCTTCGGTGAGTTTTTGGTGAGCCTACCTGATGAAACAAAACAAGTTTTGCATTAGAAGAGTTACTGGTAGCAGAAGTCAGAACAGTTCCAGTTAAGTTTACTGCATATAACCAAAGCACGTGTGACTAGGCTACAAAAGTTTCTGCGTTATTATATGTTGCTAGACATGTGATTCATAGAAGTCAATATATTTTAACTCACAACTCAACTCACTTTGACAATTACCCATAAAGAAGCTGCGCCCTAAAGGAAGGTCTGGAAACCACACTACAATTACTTGATATGGATCATTTGAAAGAGTTTGTTCAAGAGACTTGTGTCAGTGGTCATTACTCTCCTCAAGGGATATCCACATACTAGAAAGATATTGCTGTGAGCAAAGTCATCAAAAATTGACCAACATAACAGATGGACTTTTCTGATCCATAATCCATAATCATATACATATTCAAGCATATGATAATCTTCCCTTCACCATCAACTCTTAACAGTTGCTAGAAGGCAGTTTAAAGTTTATACAAGAATTAATAAAAATCAAACTGTGGAACATGTATCAATAGAATCACATGGAAAACAAGAAGGTACCTCTTTGAGGACTATTGAATCTTGAAGACCAGGAAACAACTTCTTTTCAAGCCTTCTTATAATCTCATTGGCCACCGCCTCTTTTTTCTCTTCATACTCCTTCCTAGAAAGACCCTGTCAATGATGAAAACAAACAGCGCTAAAATACATGGTATCTCAATATGAATGAAATTTGCATTTCAGCTAGAACACTGTCCTTACCTCCCAGTCTTCTATGCCTGCGGTAGTAAATACATGAAGTATATGATGTCCTTCAGGAGCTAATGATGGATCAAGAACTGTAGGGATACTTAAAAATATGCTTCCATAAGACTTTTCCAAATTATTCCAATTATCCTGCCAATTACAGACTCAAACAGGTCATACAAAGACTGCTTATAAGCCGTACTTTTTCAGCCAACGAACAGTATTTTTCTCTCACACCAAATCAGCCAACAGTACTTTCAGCCATGGTTTATCAGCCAAACAAGCCCAAACGAACAGGGCGAAAATGTTACTGATGTCAAACTCTCAACAATATGGCATTCCCAGTGAACACAATGCATACCTCAAGTACAAAATGGTGGCAGTCAGTGCCAGCAGGCAGAACTGACGCTTTGACACCCATATGAATTGAAAGGAATGATGGTGCCTTAACATAATTCTTTTGAAAGTTTTTCTCCTCTTCTGGAAGTTCTTTTTCTTTCAAGAGTTTTCCTGTACATTCAAAAAAAATATTAATGAAACTGAAAGAGCTAGTTTTTCCTCTTTTGAAAGTTCCAATCGAAGATATATTAGAATTACCAAATGTGTCCCATCTAGTGGCATTTGATATCACCGTTTTAGCAAAGAACTCCT